GCCCGTAGCCAGTCGCTCTACCGACTACGCTATATACATACAACAGCATTTTTATTTTTCAGCCGGCACGCATACCGGCAAACAATTGACGCGTACCAGCAAAGTCATCTGCAGCCAAAATTTTGTCCATACACCGCATGGACCCAGAAGCTAAAACTCAGCACGAGAGTATGGCAAACAGGCTTTTAGGCAAAACGCGCCGCATACAGCTATGTATATGCTGCATGTTCTTCTTCTGCCTCTGTTTCCCACTCTGAATTAATTCGGAAACTGCGATATCTTGTAGACAGTCGGTAAGACTCCTTGGACGGGGATCAGCCCGACGAAAGGCTACACATGACAACACACAGAACAAACGTAAACAGACATCCATGCCTCGACTGGAATTCGAACCCACGATCCTAGTGCTTGAGCAGGCGAAGACATTTCATTCCTTAGGCAGCGAGGCCCCCGTGATCAGCCTCCTGCATGTTATTATTTCCCACGAATACGCCACTTTCATCACAAGAATATGCCGTGGTGATTTTTCCCCCTCCATATACAAACACTATGCACTTTTCCGAATCTGCCTGCATTAAAATTTAGCCTAGAGCTATACCTTCATGAGGCTATTTTGGGTCTTCCTCCTTTCCGGTAAGGAAGTGAGTTTTTAGATCTATAGCAGGCAAGTTCCATGCGTAAGATCACTTACAAATTAAGCCTTGGGCATGTGTGTTTAAGCCACATGTAGTATGCACATCTGGCTTAAACACACATGCTAGGCTCAGTGGGAGGTAAAGTCAATATACCTGGAATTTCAACTCTACACACACTTAATATTCTCCCAGAATCACTTTACATAATCAAAACTGTGTACAGTAGCGGTGACAGTCATGTGTATCACATAAGTGCGGGAGTTATCTGTGTAATCTTGAAGAGGGCATGGGATAAACCTAATTAATTTTTTTTAATTCGCTTAGTGCGGGGTGGAGTCCAACTGGGTCCACTCGGCACAGCGGCCACTGATTGGCCTATTGTACCCTGCCCCGGGTGATTATGATGACAAACAAACTCCGCAGTTCTAGTCCGCAAGCGAACTATACCGACCGAGCGACCGCCGCTTGTCGCCGAAGTTACTGCCAACTTTAGCGGACAGAGGGTATCGCGTGGTCAGCGCAACGAATCCCCATGGCCGTTAATTTCGGTTTTCTAGACCGGAACCGCTACTTTTCTATTCAAACAGCTCCTCAATTATCCTCACGAGGCTGAGTGGACCCTGTTCCAGACCCACTACTTCTCAGATCTCAGGATCTGTAACCAGGAACTTTGACCACCAGACCACATAGGCGGTCATATAGAATCTACTTCCAAAAGTTATTTTGTTTTTAAAAATAATTTTGGCAGAAAAGCGATAATTATCCTCCTTATGTAATGGACAAAGATGAACAAAAATGAAATCATATGCTTTACAAATTTTACAGCAGACCGCTCATGTAAGCTTTGATCAATATTCATTCGGTGGGTCTGAAGTGTGAAACGTGGCCATACGGAAATCATCTCCATATAACATATTATTTTATGCATAGCATACAGAATGCCTTAAAAAGGTAAGGTTGTACCTTTGCATTAAGCATCATGCCATGAGGACGTATGAGGGGAGTCGAAGTATAGCTCTAACATTCTTAACCTTGCCACTAGATGGAGAAGAGTTGTCAGCGTCAAGCCCTGGCATGTTTACACCCCGCAAAAAGAGCCCTCGGTATCCACCGAACAGGAGGCTCGGTGGGCCTCAGGGCCGGTCTGAACGCTGTGGGATGCAGAAAAAAATTGCTCCTGCTGGAAATCGAACCCCGCCTCTTTTGCCGTCCAGCCCGTGGTCCAGTCAACAGGAACGATTTTATTGCTGGAGGCTTCAGGTCAATCTAGCCCTAAGGGTAAGCCTGGTGTATCTACTGAGTTATCCAAAAAATTAAAAAAATATATATAGCTTATCCTTAAGGGCATATCACTTCTAAATTAAAAAAATGCCCTTCTAGATAACATTTTAATCTCCAAATCTCATTTAATCTCCAAATAGGAGACAAAGCTCTACCTTTATTAGAAATGCGAAACTTAATTCTTCACAATATGTTAACTCAAATTAAAAGGCGACTGAACTCGGGCAATGCTTGCTACCATTCAGTCCAGAAACTTTTGTCTTCTTGTCTGTTGTCCGAAAACATAAAAATTAGAATATACAAAACTATAATTTTGCCTGTGGTTCTGTATGGGTGTGAAACTTGATCTCTGACATTAAGGGAGGAACAAAGACTTAGGGTGTTTGAGAACAGGGTGTTGAGGAGAATATTTGGACCAAAGAGAGATGAAGTGACAGGAGGCTGGAGAAAACTGCATAATAAGAAGCTTCATAACTTGTACTCTTCTCAAAGTATAATTAGAATGATCAAGTCAAGGAGGATGAGGTGGGCAGGTCATGTAGTACGAATGGGGGAGACGAGGAATGCGTAGAGGATATTGGTGGGAAAGCAAGAAGGAAATAGACCACAGGGAAGACCAAGGCGTAGGTGGGTGGACAATATTAGAATGGATCTTAGAGAGACAGGATGGGATGGTATGGATTGGATAGCTCTGGCTCAGGATAGGGACCAGTGGAGGGCTCTTGTGAACACGGTGATGAACCTTCGGGTTCCATAAAATGCTGGGAAATTCTTGAGTAGCTGCAGAATTGGCGGCTCCTCCAGAAGGGCTCAGCTCCATGAGTAAGTAAGTAAGTAAGTAATGTTAACTTCCAGCAGACTGACTGGTGAATCGCTTCTGTAAGGTCATGCAGTTTTACTCGCCCCGCCCTTCATAATCTACATTTATATTGCAAATGTCAAAAATAACTTCAGTAAATTTCATATTACCATATTCAAATTCAAAATATGTTAACAGGCTTCCGTACTGTTTAAAATGCAATATAAACAAGCTGCAATGTGGTTCTGCGGTACAACGTACTCCCGATTATCCGGTTTGCGGGTTATCTGTGAGAAACCTGCTAAACACAGGTTACATTTGCTCAGCTTGTCTGCGTGTTTGTACGCTTGGGAAGAAAAAAAAAAGAACTCGAGAATCGCACACCGAATTTTCATGGTAATTATTCTTTGAGAATTTTATGAAGAACTATCAATTTTAATTTAAATAGCAGAACATTAACGACCATTTCATATAAGTTTCTGAGCGTATCTTTGGACCGCCTCTGTGGTCTAGTGGTCAGAGTTCCTGGTTACAGATCCAGGGGTCCGGGTTCACTTCCCGGCGCTACCAGATTTTTTCTGAAAAGTAATGTGTCTGGAACGGGGTCCACTCAGCCTCGTGATGATAACTGAGGAGCTATTTCAAGGAAATAGCGGTTCCGGTCTAGAAAACCGAAATTAACGGCCGTGAGGATTCGTTGCGCTGACCACGCGACACCCTCTATGCGCTAAAGTTAGCACTAACTTCGCCGACAAGCGGCGGTCGCTCGATCGGTATAGTTCGCTTGCAGACTAAAACCACGGGTTTTGTGATTTTTTTTTGTTCGTATCTTTAATGTAACTCTAAATATTGATTGCAGCGAAAAATACTTCAAAGTGAGATAAGGAGAAAAATAAAAAATATTTTATGTGCATCACACTTTAACATAGGTCTTACGGTTTTCGTGATAACTGAACATACCAGATGCTATGCGTAGATGTCGGAACTCCTGGATTCAACGACCACGTTATCTCCATAACATGGACTACTAGTATTTTCCATTATTCGTGAGCATTTCCCTTTCATCAGCACGGGTAATCGGGTATATACTATACACTGAAATGGCGCATGTGATAAAGTTGTTGTATCAGACTGTAAACTGGACCTAACTGGAAGATTTTTCACTTCGTAACTAATGAAATATTACCTCCATTGCCAAACTAAACAGCCAGTGTTAAATACGTTGGCTGGGAACGGTATTTGGAGGTCATTTGTTTCACCTCAAATATACAGTATACGTGTGGCTACTTTCATTGTATTTATCGTCTACTATTTCCACGTTATATATTTGAATATTTTTTAACTCTTAAACCTTACTGTATGCATAAAAATAAATAGATCCTTCGGTCCAGTCAGTCCCATCCTGTAATTAGCATTGCTAGTCTCTCATATAAACCAATCTCTGTAATGCATCTAAAGAAATATCACCATTTTAAAAACTCGAAAGTGTTAGGAAATTTAAGATATCACATAAGCAATGAAATACAAGTCTACTTTACAAACTGAATACTTAAATACTATACATACATACTTAATTCTCTTGCGCAAAATTATGACAATGAAAATGATATTCTGACTATACAGAACATTACTTATACATAGCATAACAACGCGTAACTGTTTAGAAAGGGTAGTAATGCATTCCACATTCACAAACTTGTGGAGGCAGTTTCAGACCTGTCTGTTCTTGAAGTGCATACAACTCTCAACCGGTTCTGGTGGCTCCGATACAGAAACTTCCTGATGGGCCAGGCAGACGGCAAAGTAAAATGCTTGCTTGCCAAACAAAAAGCCCTGATTAATGTATACCCCAAAAACTCATGGGGCAGAACCAGTACATACATATTCTATGAAACCGTGCAGCAGTAATTTTAATTCTAAATCGTGGCTGAATATTAGTAGTTTGCTAACATTAATTATTATTTAAAATTGCATGCCTGATGCAGTAATACACACGAAAAACATACGGACACATTACTGTAAACACACAATTCTGTTTTTCCAATGTACACGAGTTGTAAAATGTTTATTCTCCCGTCAGTGCAATACAGCAGAAAATGTGTTTGACACAGGAAGCATTTATATCCCAATTTATTTAACGATGTTATGGCCAATATTTACTTATCATATAAACATATTGGGTTACCAGTATTATAATATGTATTTTAAGGTTTGCAGCAGCAATTACTAATGACTGGCCATACATAAACTGAACAAAAAGTATATATAAATAATCCGTCACTCACCATGTTTGGGCGGAGGTGATCTGACGTAAATAAAAACATGCGGGTTCTATCACATACCAATTAGACTTAACAATGACACAAATACCAGACTGGAAAGAAGAATGCTACACTTATAACTGTGAACACTAACAATTAATGGCTTTGTTTACCTTCAATATTTTATTTAATTTTGGGGTAACACACCAGCCTACGAACACCAATAACCTTGTCCTCCTAACGCAAAACACGCGAATGAACGAGAGCAACGAGAGTGCGCGAGAACCCCCCCCCCCCCCCCTGAGNAGATAGTGACTAGTGGAGGGCTCTTATGAACACGGTAAAGAACCCTTGGGGGTCCATATGATGCTGGGAAATTCTTGAGTACCTGCACAACTAGCAGCTTCTCATGAAAGATCTAAAAGTTTGTGATGATGGTACATTACTGCAAATATCATGTTTCTGGACATTATCCATCCTTCTGCCTTTATCTAAAAACACCATTCTGTCTATATTATATATTACATAATATTTGTTCTCAAGACTGACTCATCTCCATGGAATTAAGTAGTTACGGGCAATGTCTTATTGATGACAAACCTGTTACATGACATGTCTACCTCATACCACAGGCTTTGGCAAGAGGAGGCAACAGACATATTTTCCTCTGGATTTCTGGTAAAATTGAAAGAAAATATGTAAATCTATAAACTATTAATACCAAGAAATAAAATTATTTAATACATGCTTATTCCTCTCTCCAGAATACCATCGGGCTTTCAGTAAATTTAGTTTTAAATGGCTTAAATACAACATCATAAGCTAATTTTCTGGTGTTTCCACCCCCTCCCCCCACTCCCAAATATCATGGCAATGTTCATGCCTAATACACAGAATTTACGCAACTATAAACTAAACTGCGAGGGTGGTGACACATGACTTGCATTCACATGGTACCCAATTCATATCCCAGCAGGTATTTTGCCACTCCAGGCATATAACAATATTGCAACATATAATGGAGTATGACCTCTCCCTGACTTATGACACCATTTTCCATTTGACATAGTGCTGAATGCATTGCTATAGTAGTAACACTATTTCTGTTGAGGAGGTGTTTACATATTTTAGCAGAAGGTACCACATCTCTGCAACAAAATGAAAAACTTGTGTCTACAACTTACTGGTCTTTTCTATTACATGACTATGAAAGGTGCACAAGACACCAGACTATGCCAGATCCATATGGCTGACCTAAAAAATGAAGAATCTGATATGTGTCACATAAAGTGTGGGCCTCTGGACATATCCATTATTGGGCTGCATCTGCGGTGGTATTCATATATTTCTCATTGGACAGACCACAGGAAGAATACAAATGTTTCAGTGGGTTGGCACAGTAAGATCATTCATCACTTAAGAACACTGACCACACGTGGAAAATTTTAGTGTTTAACAATAACAGCGTAAAAAACATTTCTTCTGCTTCATGAGAATTAATGTATCTATTAGTAGTGCTTTACACACAGAAACAGAAGAACAGATTGGTAAATCAAACATCACAGAAACAATATGGAGCAACTATGTCAGATTTGACATGCTCACAGCCTCTAAAATGATGATTTCCCTCTTCTGGGATGTGACACCATATAAGCTGGTAGACATTTCATTTCAGGAGAAAGTGAGACCTCCATCTTCAGAGCAGAAGAGTAAGCCAAGTGTGAAAAAAAAAAAAAATTGGTATAGACCTTGAGAGCCAATATAAAAGTTCTGAGTGAACCAATGCATGAAGAATGGTCAAAGAATCTGGAGCCCTTGAAAAGATCTGTTATCGGAATAGAGAGATGAGAGAAATAGTGGCTCTCAAAGAGCAATGGACGTGTATGGCAGTCAGAGGAGACAGGCTAAGGTAACAGTGACCCTAAAGTACGTTTTTCAACTGCAGAGTGAATGGGAGGGAAGATAAAAACACCAAAAGGCTGGAAGGCACAGTGGGTGGGGAAGATAAGAAGAAGCAGAAGAGGAAGGAGTGAAGGGAAATAATCAAGGGCCTCACATTCTCTCACAATTCTCCTTACTCTGGTTTGTTCCCTTGGCAATCCTATCAGCTGCCCTTCTTCCTACATACGAACCACCTTTTTCCACAGTTGGCTTCTTTGTTCTCTTCCATTCCAATGATGAAGGCAGAAAGTTCCTTTAAACTGTCAGAAAATATCCATCAGAGTACATATCATCACATCCCAGAAGATAATCTTTGAAAGCAGCTAGTTACATCATGTTTTAATGACATTCAAGTTCCCATAAAATCATTCCACCATCAACATTCACTAATCATTTTAACTACATATATAATTAATAAAGACCCTTGGCAGTGCTGCTCCCTCTTATCAGCAGAGTTAAGTATGGTACGAGGGTCATACTGAAAGTCATGAGCAACAATTTTTTGTGAAGTAACATGCTTTATTATTGACAAACCAAATACACCACCTCAATCTACAGACCTTTCTTTATTTTTCCACATAATCGCCACTTCTTTGTACACATTTCTCCCAGCGTTCTGGGAGTTTGAAAATTCCGTTTCAGCCATCCAAATACACTGACGCACTGCTTTCTGAATTGCCTCCCTTGTCTCAAAACATTGTCCATGCAGCTGATCCTTCACAAATCCGAAAAGATGGCAGTCGGAGGGTGCCAGATCAGGGCTATAGGAGGGGTGTGGAAGAACTTCCCACCCCATCTTTGCAATTGCTTCCAATGTGAGGCGAGCGGCGTTGGGGCGAGCATTGTCATGCAGGATGATGATGTTTCGTCCCGGACGTTTTTCGCGCAATGCACGGCAGACCTTGTGCAGCATCTGGACATAATGAGCAGCATTGATGGTTTGCCCAGGTTCCAGGAATTTGGCCAGAATAAACCCCTCTGTGTCCCAGAAGACTGTGCCCATCACCTTCGCAGCTGATTGCAATGTCTTTGCCTTCTTTTTTGATGGAGAATGCAAATGGTGCCATTCCATACTCGGCCGTTTCGTTTCAGGCTCAAAATGGTGAAACCAGCTTTTGTCACCTGTCACAATACAGAGCAACAAATCATCGCCTTCATGTCGATATCTCTGCAGCAGTTCTGAGGTGATGGCTTTTCGCTGACCTTTGTGGTCTTCGGTCAATAACTGCGGGACCCAACGATCACAAACTTTCTTATAGCCCAAGCTTTCAATCATCTCCTGTATTGCACTGTGCCCTATTCCAAGTTTTCAGGCTATTGTATCCACAGTCACATGCCTGTCATCTTGAACGATCTCATCCACTCTTTCCTTGTTGTGTTCAGTTGAGACTGTTCGAGGACAACCACTCCGAGGCTCATCTTCGATGCTGGTGTTCCCATCTTTAAAATGTTTCACCCATCTTCGAACACTGCTCGCACCCCTTAACACACTTCCATAAGCAAGCTGAAGTCTCTGGTGAATTTCTGCAGCAGAGATTTCCTCTTTCACAAGAAATTCGATGACAGCACACTGGTGAAACGACATATTGTTGTCGGCCATTTTGTTAGGAGTGATACTGGTCACGTGATGCAAGCTATTGACGTCACAAGACACTCAAGGTTAACACAACAGCTGGTTCCACCTACCATCGTACTCTCTTTCGTCTGCTGTTCCCAGGCTGCATGCAGAAAAAAGTTGCTCATGACTTTAGGTATGACCTATGTACATAAGCTGGGATGTTGAGGGCAGGTAGCAAGAGCAGAGGAATCAGCAAAACCAATAACACCTGGCAGCATAATCTATGATTGTGACAAGATCTTACTGTCTTCATTCCCAGAACTATTTGATGAATGACCAGAGAAAGATTCAGTCAGACAAATGAAACACACTAAATGATAGTCATATATAAAGATTCTCAAAGTGCTTCAAAGCATTTATCTAACTGCAATATTAGACTACTGTAATTTTATTCACATCAATGTCTTGGTAAATATGTGACCTTCTTTATGTGTGAAATGTTCATACACAACTCACTGCATTTTCAACTGTTCTGCCCAATTCAAGATTACATTCTTGTTAGAATTAACCAACTGGCATACTTGGGCAGCTTGAAGGTATCACAATGTTTGCATTATATTACATATTATAACAACAGGGAAGTGCCATAGGTTGAGAGTTTGATTATTTCCATCTATGACATCAAAAGAAATTCATATAGAAACATTTTCCTAGCATTTCTGAGAAGTTAAATTACATAGAAACAGTGGAAAACAATGATCTTTTGTTTCTATAGCATCAATATTACTAACATACAGCCTATCTCTACAGCAATAACACAATGGAAAAGAACATAAAATAAGCTCTTCTTGAATGTGCATGTGGATATGGAGTGGTCTGAGGTACCAATTTAACTTACATAACCTAACACAATCTGAACAATCTGTCTGAATGTATAGGTGGATTTTCAGTAGTCAAATGAGTCAACCTAGCCTAAACCAGTTAGAATCAAGCTCTGCCCAGTGTGCAGGAGGATGTGTAGTCATGTAATTGGGCAACAATTTTTTAATCTCTTAATTAGTTTCTTATAAAAACTTTTGAGTACCTGAAATTAAATAGTATACAAGTGGGTTAAAATCAAATTCCCAACACCATGTGAAATATCCATATATGTTTGTCATTTCTGATCTAGAAAAACTGGAAATTACGGCAGAATATATGACATACATTAACACCAAACCCATTTATAACCATATCTTCAAAGTGAATTTAGTACAGACTGGGCTCATTAACTGACCACATGATATGAAGACATGAGTAATGACTAATTTAAATATCATAAATTTTAACTTCATTTATCCAGAAACAAAGCTGAGGACTAAACCACTGGCTTATATTCTTCCATTATGTTCAGTTAATTATATGACACACATTAGCATTGCAGTGAAAGGTTAAAAAAATAAATGTTTATCGTGAGGAATCAAAACTGAAGAATGCCCATAGCAAAGACATAGTAGAAGAAAAGATAGAATTTTGCAACAAATTAAAACTTACAATGAAAAATCTATATACTACACACAAATATAAGCTCTGCACAAAAAGAACGGACTACAGTTGTGTGTCAATATCCACGTGTGGAACTCAGAAGGAACATTAAAATTAAGAGGCTAAAGATCTGCACTGCTTTCTGCCTCATCCAGACATTTTACCCACATACATATGATATTAAATTTCATCCATGAAATTGTCTCCTCAAATCTGGAAGACTTCCAATATCCCCTAGTAATGTTACTGAAATGTTCTTCTATTGTATATTATCCATGTCTCAGTACATAACAGGATTCTTACCAATTCAACTGACTATTCCTTTAGAAATGAGATACATAATTTATGATCATAGAATGAGCAGGTAGCCACAATTCTTAGATCTTCTGCAGATCTATCTGCTTGTAAAATGTGATCTTTTACATAAATTACAGCTTCTTCACCCATTAAATGACACCAATCTGAACCATAAGCCAGACTTTGATGCTCCTTGTATGCTGCAACAATGGATGGTGGTTTTGTGTTGTCTGTGTAGTCTAGTACACAAAACCCACCATGCATGCATGAAGTTAAAATACGCTGCCATGTATGTGGATCCCACTTAATCCGCCACACTCCTCCACCCAAAGGAATGGAAAATACACATTGCTTCATATGGCGAGTGTCCCAAATTCTGATATTTTCATCGTAACTGAAAAGAAGAAAGAGATGCTTTTACCTATCTCAGTCATTGAAATGCAAACAAAATTCTTACTGAAGAGTATTTTTTTTGTCTCCTCTTGTTCCTTTTACAATTTATATATATTTCCCTTTCTCAGTTTCATACCCTGTTAGAACACTTATATCTTTTCAGATAACACTGCAAACAAGTTAATCAGTTACACAAAGAACTAACAGACCATTTCTATAACCATACAGAATTTAGTAAAAGTATCATAAATATCCAGTTACAAAATATTGTAGAATATCAACTTTTAGTGCCTTTCTGTACCTGCCAGACGCAAGGAGATTTTCATACAGAGCATTAGAGTGAAGACTTGTGACACCTGCTTCATGTAGTTTGCTGGATGAAACAGGACGTTGGATTCCTATCCTTAAATCATAAACATGGAACTTGCAATCATCCCCACCTGCAACATAACACTTTCTATGTAAGATTTGAGATTTTCACAGTGGTGACTATGAAAAATGCTGTCTTCTGGGATGTGGCACTGTGTACAGCTCGTGTGAACCAACATTCTGTAGGAATGTACTGCCTCCATCTTCAGGGTTTGCACAGTCGCTTTCTTCTTTCAGGTTCATTTACTCTAGTGCACTGACTGCTTCATTCGCACTGCCATTCATAGCAAGGGCTCTGAACAGAGCCAGATGAACAGCTACAAACCAGAGAAAGAGAGAGCTTCTTATTCACTAACTGTATCTCAATGAAATCCCTTTATGAATTAGTGCTAGGTACTGGAAAAAATGAACACTGGTTCCTCCTGCTGGAATTCAAGGTTACTTTTCACTGGTTTTTAAACTTAATGTAATAAATTATAAATACAAAATAAACTGCCTGTGCTAAACATAGGCAAAACATTACATGGTGTGGAAACCAATTCAATTCATTTTCCATGTTTGCTAAACAAATAATACCAATAATGTAAATTAAATGGTAAGACTTTTTGTATTACCTGTATAAACAACAGAAGAATTCCAGTAATCAAATGCTGTTATCCAAGCTTCAAACCCATGAGCTTTCCAGCATTCTTTCTTTTCCAGCATTAAACCATTCAACATCAAAAGAGAAACGTTGCCTTTCGAATCACTAACACTGATAAGCGGATTGTTCTGAACATCTTCAAATTTTGCGCGTCCTGTTGACCAATCCAGAGAAAGAGCTAGTGTTTCACTGTTAACATCTTGGGCAACAGCACAGCTGCAAAGCAGTGACAGACTGCAGGATAGATAAGGTTCACTTTCCTTAACATTTTTTATATTGTCTTCCTCTAACACTGCTTCATTTGTTCGCATTTCATAAAGCAGCACATCTCCCACAGCAGTAGCAATAGCAAGTAAAATTTTTCCATATATTTTACAGTGGCACCATTTACAGTCCAATATAGCAGACATTTCTAATGTCTGTAATAAACAAAGACCCTTTAAAGAATCAATGGCAAACAGGTATAAACGCCCAAGTCTGTTGCAGGGATTAGAGACTGTACTTTCTTCACTCCTTTCCTGCTTAATTAAAGGCTCATCACAGTCTTGCTTGTTCACTTCTGTATTTTCAGTCTGGACAAGTTGGTAAGTTCCACACACAAATATGCTCTGATAAGGTGTTACTGGGCACCACTCAACAGAATCAGCACTGTATTCTGTATCCCATACATGAAGTGTTTGCATGTTGTTTCTTGTTACCATTTTGGATATCTGGAAAAATATAAAAATATATCTAGTAAAAATTAACCCTATCACTTATTCTAGTAAGGTAAAAAATGTAAAGTTGCCCCTGTGCTTAATTAATTATTTAGGCACCACGCAATGAAGATGTATGGACCGGAGATACACCTTATATACATATATCCAATTGTCCTTTACAGGAAGCATAGAATAGCAGACTTTTATAATAAAATTACTAGCATCAAAGAAAGAAGACAATTAAGCCCTCTAGAAAAACTGGATAGCCATACTATAGAAATTAAAACTACTCGTAATACTCTTTTTGCATAAACATTCACCACATTTATTTGTAACTGCTTCAGTGGAAATTAAATTATGTCATAACCTTTATATGGCAAGCCACTGTTACAAAACTGTCAACTTAAAGAGAGCTGAAATGAGAAAAGAAAATCAGAAGAAGAGAATTTTAATGCCTTCCCTTTCCTACCATCTAACCTTGGACCAGTGCTCTCTTCTTAGTGCAGAATCTAGGTGCATAAAGTTTGAGCAGTGTCATTTCTTTCACGTGAAAACATACCACAGTGTAATTAATGAAATGAGAAGTCATATATCACGATCTAGAATATAGAAGTTAAGTGGGATGATGGGTGTCCAGTGGATCTCACACATATACATGGGCAAAATGATGAAACATTAAGTTCCCTCTGATCAAAATTACTTAGTTTTATTTCAGACTTCAAGGAGAAGCAGACTTGTTAAGTGAAGGCTTCTTGGTTAGGAGGGAACAGGGGGATGTTCTTACAAAACAGACAATTTTACAAACACATCAAACATTGGATTATTCACATTTCTATGAAAACACTATGACTTTCTGTTTCCAATTCACATTATGAATACGCTGCAATGTATTGTTTTTAGAATGTACAGTTCAGCAATTTCATAAATCATAAGTTGCAGCAATGGGCACTGGAGTTTCATTTAGAATCTACATTAACAACAATTCTAAGAAAATTACAATGATGATACTTCAGTCTTCTCCTAAGTGGGTAAATATATTGCTATGAAATGTACTTATTGCAGGAATGCCCAAGAATCAGGCTACTATAACTGCTACATGTACAAAAATATTCTGTTGAACTCTGTGCACTTGCGAGAGCATTCAGATGACGAGGTGCTACACAAGGAATGGCCGTTTAAAACTGTGTTATGGTGCTTCTGATTCATCATTTTCTTGAAATCAATGAACAGACACACAAAGAAATTATACATTGACAGTAAACAACATTCACAAGCTAGGTAAATGATGAAGTAAGGCTATCTCCCTGACATCTGTAAATGACAAAATAAAAATAAAATTCCATGGATAATAAAAATGTATGGGTGAGACACGTTATTGCCATATATGGATTACCATTACCTGTCACACGTCTCACTGAACACTCCCACACAGTAGGTGAGTGGGTGGAAAATGGCATTTCGGAGCAGAAATTTTCACCTTTTGTAGTGAAATCTTTGATGATATCTGAGGTAGACAAAACACCAACAGCATAATGCAGCAGAGGATAAATACAATTTTAAATAAAAAATAAAAGACTAAACTAGTCAGACTAAATCATGCTTTAATTGGTCAGTAAGCGTATCAGTCTTGTGCTGCACATAAAATAAGAATTACCTGGATCCATCAGCTGACAATTAACTCTTCATATATATACAATATGATAGCATCAAGATTTCTCTTTATTTTATAATCCAAAATATACTAAAATATTGAATGGTGAAAGAAATGGTTTCAGACAACCAAATGCATATTATTTATATAATAACAAAATCAAGGTTTTATCCTGATTTTGATTCCATGTATTTCTATATGTTCTTATATATTAAAGTTTCCAGGCCAAATACATAAAGGCAATACACTAATGTTCTGGATTTTGCATATCTTTGAAATTCATTCCTACAACACTGAAGATAACATGAATGTATATTACACAGGATGTAAATAAATATATGTTAACAACGATCTGTGGTAGATAGATGGGTTCAATGTGATCATATTTTGTTAATACACAATTGTCCAGAAACGCTTCCTTTTGGCACTAAGGGGCACAAAAATTTCCAAGAGGATGTATAAGTTTTAGGGGATATTACTGGTGCTTTACATTATAAAAGTTGCTCCAAATGGCGGCTGCTGACTTCATTGCATGTTTTGTACTGCCTGGCCATGCTGTGCTGAACACACTGAAAGATTCCTGGCATTTCCCGGATGGTTCCAGCTGCCACTGCAATTCCTGCCACAAGATCATGTTGTGTATCCACTAGAGTCTTGTTACACCAGGCTTTGCATGTACACCCCAGAGGAAGAAATCAAGTAGAGTCAAGTCAGAGGAGTGACGGTGCCAGGTTACTGGGCCTTCATGTCCAATCCATCTGTTGCCAAAAGTTCCATCCAAATACTCATGGACAACATAAGTGCAGTCTGCTGGAGTGCCATCATGCTGGAACTACATTTCATGATGGAATTCCAAATGTACCACTTCCAGCAGCTTGGGTAAGGTCTCTTCGAGAAATGTGAGGTAAATGTCACCAGTAAGCCATCGAGGAAAGAGGTAAGGGCGTCCTCCTTCACATTTGAGAGGCCCTAGTGCGTAAACAAAGCATTTCCAGACTTGAGCGTATTAACAAAATATGATCACATCGAACATCTATCTACCACAGAGCATTGTATCATATATCTATTTACACTCTGTCTATATATATATGATTAATATTTGTGACACAACCTTTGATATGACAATCATTAAATTAATAATTTATGTTAAATACCTGAGCACATGCTTTCAAAATGAAACTAGCTGTATGATCCAAGTTCGCCACTCACAGCATTTGGAACTCATGAAAAGTATCGCACACTTAACTTCATGCAGCTGAGCCCTTCTTGACAAACTGTTATTTGCTCGGCAACTTAAGAAATTCCCAGTATTTTATGGAACCCAAAGGATCACCATCTTTGCATGAGTCAGCCACTGGTCCCCATTCTGAGCCAGATTTATCCAGTCAACATCACTCCATGCTATTCCTTTAATATAAATTTTAACATTATCCTTCCACCTATGTCTTTAAGTTTTCCTAGTAGTCACTTTCATTCACGGTTTATACCAAAACTCTGTACATATTTCTCTTCTCTCCCAAGCAATCTATGTTCCCTGCCCATCTCATTATTCTTCATTTGATAAGTATAATGATACTTAACAAGAAGTACAAATTATGAAGCTCTTCATTATGTAATTTCCTCCAGCTTTTTGCTACTTCTTTCGTCAGTATCCTGTTCTTAAAAACACCCAATCTGCTTTCGATTTGAGGTTCTCACAGGGGTGACTATAAAGAGTACAATCTTTCGGATTGTAACATTGTGTAGTTTGGTACAAGTGCACTGACATTTCAGAAAAAGTACAAAGTTTCATGCCAACAGTAAGCCACAGACCAAAATAGTTTTGTGTATTTTAATCCTTACATCTGTAAACAGCAGACAAGAAGTCAAATGATTCTGAACTGGTGGTAACAAGCATTTCCTACCTTTTAATTTTCTCTTAATTTATTCATGTACATAATTCTGATTTGCTGGGTAAAAGCCAGATATTTCAACTCCATATTTTAAAAGAATCAATGAGCTATCAATGTGTTATGACTGTGGCCTGCACTCTGGTGATAAGACATTCACACATACATGTTTTCTCTGTACTTACTTCTAAATCAACCTCCTTACTAGCATCTATTAGAGCCTGTGCTATTCTTTATGATTATGTTAACATTAACAGCAAAAACCACAACCTGATGGGTCCTAATCAATTTCAGTTCCCCTTGGCTTTCTTATACTTTCGTAATGGTGTATTCTAAACCAAAGCTGAAAAGCAACGGCAATAAAGGATTTCATTGTTTTATTCTGTTCAGAATATGAATCATATGAGACAAATGTGTACCCATATGGATTTTAATAGACGTATCTTTTAAATACATTCTGATTATCCTATTCCCTCCTAAATGAATAATAGGCTCTTCTGATATCTACAAATAGTTGCTGTACTGTCTCACTGAATTCCCACATTTTCCTTCATGTCTGATTAATGGGGGAAAAAATATGATTAGTTGTTGATCTACTATATAAAACTCCAGAATCATAAACCTAATAATCTTGTCTACATAAGGACTCTTAAAGATAAAATTTCGTATGAAGTTAATAACGATACTAGTCATTGTATGCCTAAATATAAAAGTGACTTATACAATGTAAACTAAACATACACTTCAGTATATAAGATAAAGCTTTATCTCCTTCTCATTAGGGAAAATAAAACACAAATACTATAATTTTAATGACACTGTTAACATTTACACATGAAATACAATTACTGTACTGGCCCTACTGGTCTGGATTTATTTGGTGCATGCAAACATTAAGAACTGTTCATGGCTTTTCAACAACAAAAACAATTCCATAGAAATATACTAAAAGAAGATTTATTAAAATAAAAACCAGTATGTAAACAAGAAGAGTTCTGTCTTCTGGGATAAAATGCTACATAATCTGTTGAAAGTCAACCTTCCATCTTCAGAGTTGAAGAATAAGCCAGGCAGACATCAGCATGAAGGTCTGTTTGCTACCTCTTTCATGGTGGTTTCTTGACTGGCTCATTCTTTGATCTGAAGATGCAACTGACATGTTCCTCTGAAATGTCAGTTGACTTTCCAGAGTACACAGTGTCATATCCCAGAAGATAGAACTCTTCATAATGGCAGATGTGCGAACCTCAAATCCTTCTGAGACATTTATTTACATGAAGCATAAAAAACAGCTTGGTATGTCAATCTGTACGCCATGTAACTAGTGTTTTCTCTGACAAAATTTTATATAGGGATTTTTCATTGAATAAAGTAGCAAAGTAAAATGATTCTTTTGGACTACTTCAGACAATAAGTGCTGTCATTTTACTTAAGGGCCTACATAAACTCTTATTACTGATGTCAAACTTGCAAGAGAGAATGAAGAAAGATGGCTCAAGTGGTTAATAATTCTAAACTGTATTTTGAAAGTGCCTGGTTTGAATGCTGGCAGGACATATGATATCATGACTGAGGTTCTTCATAGTTTTCCTCTGTCCCTCCATGCTATGATAGTACCTAGAAACAGACCATGACAACTTCCTTATCATCCTTTCCAATTCATCATCCTACCATCTGATACCATATAGTCTGAGTTACTGATGGCATGGCCGCACCATAGCTCAAGAGGTTAGTCGCTGGTTTCCCACCATGGCAGCCCGGGTTCGATCCCAGGTCTGTTCAAGTGGGATTTGTGGTGGACAAAGTGGCGCTGGGGTGGGTTTTCTCTGAGTACTTCGGTTTCCCCTGCCAATCTTCATTCCACCAAATTCTCCATCACCATAATCACCCGGGGCAGGCTACGATAGGCCAATCAGTGGCCGCTGTGCCGAATGGACCCAGTTGGACTCCACCCCCCGCTAAGCAAATTAATTAATTAATTAATTACAGATGGCATCATTGAATAAATCACAAATAAATAAATAAATACAAGAGAAATAAAAAGTATATGAATATTGGAATATTTTTGTTAGATGACTGGCAATAAAGATTGCTGCTCCACTAGAGGTCTACACCAACTGTAAGCAATTTAAATTTTTATTTTGCAGTCTGAATGAGTGAAAAAGGCAGAAATAACTGATGATTGACTGTACAATACGGACAGGACTCTGTACCACAATGAAAGAATACATAACATGACTTCTATACATTAACAATACTGATTAAGATCCTCTCAAACTAACTTTCCCCTTGCATATACTTCCTTGTGGAAAATAGTTCTGTCCATACTGGGCAATCATTTATCAACAGACTCTGCCACTTTCATTCCTTCAGGTCATAAAAGTCATGACAGCAAATTGCTTCTCCTTGAGGGGGGTACAAAAAAAAAGAAGAGTGCATGCACGCACGCACATATGCACACACACACACTATAACTGAAATATACTCACAGCATGCCACCACCTGATCTTAAGCTACAGTGTGACAATGCCTCAGCAGTGCTGCCAATCATATAAGAAATAATTCCAAATTGGGGATAGTTTCAATTTCCCTTGTATAAAAACAAATCCAAAATAAACATTATGGAATATGTATGAGTTACAATTTTAGACAATGAAGAATGCCATCTTCTGGGATGTGGCGCTGTATAGCTCTTGTGTGAACTTACGTTTCGGAGGAACTTATCGCCTCCATCTTCAGGATATAAACATTAACTACATTTACACAAGATCTACAGGGTTCCACATCACAGAAGACAGCATTCTTCATAGTCACCATTGTGAAAATCTCAAATCCTACATTTTGGACAAGTTTCATATTTAAATTACCATTTGTCTGTCCATCTACCTGCTAATAACAATGCTCAAACTACGTGATCAGATTTATTCACGTTCATGAATATTGGTCAAATCACTTTGATTTCCATTCAAGTCAGTTAATTTTATGGGCTTTACTGTAAGGATTACATGAACTCACACACACCCTTGGGGTTTTTGATAGGTCTTCATGAAACATGAAATACTGCTCACTTCTTTTATACTGTTGCCATTATATGAAAGTTTTAATTCATCTCACCTTAACTGATGATCATTTTATGAAAACTTGTATTCATATCTATTGAGCTGTTTTATATATTCTGGTGAAACTCAATATAGAGCACTTCCATTGTAACAATAATATTATCATTTAGTGAATATTCAGTATAAATCATTTTAGAACCAATATTACTTAAGGTAGTGAACACATCCTTTTGAGAGTATCTAACTATGGATTCACTTGAGAGGAAAATGCCTACAATAAAGGCCACAGAGAGCCACAAAATACAGGACTTACATCTTATGAAATATTTGCATGATATTACCAGAAACTCACCATTATTAAGAAATTCTATAATGTTACAGAACTGGGTAAGTTATAAATGCTCTATTATTTTTATACAATGACCCATTCTGTGAGAAATGTTATGCCATTGTATACAAACTTGTATGTTTATTTTTATAAATATTCACTGAATTCAAAATAGTCTGAGATCAACACTACAAAATTTAATATGTATATATCATACAACACCTACATTTGTTGATACAATGAACACCTTTATTTCTTCATAAATCAGATAAAATTCTGTTTTAAAGTAAAAGGCAAAGTTGTCCCTGTACTTAATTAATTAGTTATCATGCCATAAAGACATATTGGGCAGTGGAGGTATAGCTCCACCATTCTTGACCTCAGTATTACATGGAGGGGTGAAATTCATTCCCAGCCCCCCCCCCAGGACAAAAAGCCTCTGGTACCCACTGTATAAGATGCTGTGTGCCTCAGAGCCAATCTGGACACTGGAGGAGAGAAAAATCTCTTGCCCTTGTCCAGGAATTGAACCCCGGCTGCCCTGCCCATAGTCCATCACTATACCAACTGAGCTATCCCACCTCTTCTATTTTAGACTAGCAGTCTGAAATCACAATTCCTACAAAGTGTGTGTTGACCTGAAGGCTATTTAATTATGCTGTTTTAACTGTATAAGTTATTTAACATAAAACAAGGTAACAGGATGACTGACAGTGAAATGGAAAGTGTGGAGGAGCAAGCAATTGGAGCCTATTTCAGGGTAAAAGTCTCAAAATAGTAACCTCCTCAATCAAATCGGGTGAATTACCATTAACTAACCCTGCTCAGTTTCAGTATCTGAAATAACAACCATCAAGTCCACAACCAGTCCTATATACTAATACATATGCTGCATATGAAATACATAAGCTTCTGCCACAAATGACAATTATGAGGAAAGTGTAACTGGAATACAGTTTTAGAAAAATATTTATTATTAGAAACCTTGCTATTTGACAGTTATTGCACAAGATGAGGAAGGTATAATGCTTGAGCAAACCCCATGTGAAATAAGTGCAATACTGGTGTGCATAACTTCACAGTTTCTCTGTCACCAGATTACTTCATAATAAACATACCAATATTTCTAACAGTATTGCCACTTTCTACACAAGCCATCTTGGTAACTCCTGCATATATAAGTAGTCTTACAGAACACACTTTATATGTACCAAACACTGTCAATAATATGTTCATTAAACCAATACAACTATGAATATTAAATGTGCCACAAAAAATAATAACTTATACACATATCAGAGTAACCATATTGCTATAAAAACGATTCTCATGGGCGATATAACTGGGAGAATATGATAAGAATATGAACTTTCCAAACTTGGAATTATTAATATACCACTGTACTCAAAACTATATCTTCTGTTTGAAATATGTCATCACTGTACATATTTGTACTATCAACTGCTAATTAACCCTAGGATTACCAAGGTTTGTTTGCTAACATGGATCAGCCAGGCACAGGCTTGGTGGATCCATGAATCATCATTGTCAGATAAACCTTATAGTGATTAAATATACTTCAATTTAATAATCCATTATAAGACATTTTGATAGTCCTCACAAAACTCAACTCTCTTTGTAAAAATGATTCTTAACTTTGCTAATTCCAAAGAATGTCATCATGTAAAAAAATGAAACTTCTCTGAACAATTTAGTCATCTAGTCACAACAGCATTAGCCTAGAAATCTAACAATTCACCATAATTAATTCTCACTAATGATTTAACAAATTAATTACATTTCAACGAGACCAGTGAGAGTTGAGTAAAACCTGCCTATTAACTTTGGACAACTTAACCCTTTAATCTGAAGTACTTCACACTAAAAAAAAAAGGCATACAAAACAGTTCAATACCCTGCCTTGGTTCTTCATGCAAGTGCACAAACTTTTCTTTTCGTGGACATAACCTCACAGTAACACGAAAGCAAACTGAGATTTGAAGTTTCCATGGAAAATGGAATTATTCTGTGTTCTTATCTATTATGAAGCCTGCAGGAAATTAGTAACCAGACACATACAAGATCATGAAGGGTCATAACCCACAATACCAACAATTTTAAGTAAAAAACTGGTTGAAAAGTGCAAGGAGTATAGTGCAAGTAATCCTAGGATTATATGAATCCAGGAATGTCCACAGAGTGTTCCTTTGCTTGAGGAAGCCACATGTGTTACACCTCCTCCGTCATAAACCACTATATGTGTATATGAATTTGAAAAGAAAACACTGTGGGTGTCCTGAATAAAACCTGGGCTCACATCAAAACATTTTACTTTTGTCTCTATGGGATGTCCCATTTCAGATTTGAACTTATGAAACTATATAATCATTATTCATCAACTCTCAATAAAAATGTAAGTAACATTTACATAGGCCACACCATAGCTCAAGCGGTTAGTTGCTGGCTTCCCACCGTGGCAGTCCGGGTTCGGTCAAGTGGGATTCGTGGTGGACAAAGTGGTGCTGGGGCAGGTCTTCTCCAAGTACTTCGGTTTCCTCTGCCAATCTTCATTCCACCAACTGCTCCACTATCCCCCTCACCTATCATCTAGGACTGGTACAATATGCCAGAAGTGACCGCAGTACAAGGGACTTAGTCCCACCCCACTAGCATTAAAAAAAACATTTACATATGGACAAGTATACTGTAGATTCTATCAAAACACATGTTCAGTATGAACTATCCCACCAACCCATTTGTCTTCTTACTAAATAAAACTATTTTGTTATACTGAATACAATTAGATCATGACCACCTGAGATTCTATTCTGCTCATATAACGTTATGAATGGGAGACATACTGACAAATGGAACTTCAAAAAATAATAAATCTCATAGTACTATGAATTGACATGTGATAAAAAAATCGTCTTCCACAAAATACGTTTAGAAACATCAGTTACATGTATGACAATGATCATAACTGTAGTCTCTTTATACATAAAATACTGCATTACAAAGCTTGGCCCCTCAACCTTTGAAAACAGTTGACCAAAATATCTGCCTATCTGATAACAAATGACTTGGAAGCAGTAGTGGCCTAATCAAGGTACTATCCCAGCATTTGCCTAGAGGGACTAAAGAAATCCTCTGCCAGGAATGCCCATGTTCTGACAGAAATTTGAACAAGGCATCTGCCAAAATCAAGTCTAGAATACTTCTGCTTCATCAACCTGCCCGGTTATAGTTACTGACAACATTCCAACTGTATACGGGAGTTACAAAGCATTGTATTGTAGTATGACTGCAAATGATGAATTGGACA